GCTCACTAGAAGAGAATGCAGCTCTTTTTTTTTTTAATTATTTTCTTAATGTTTGTTTATTTATTTCAGAGAGAGAAAGAGAAAAAGAGAGGGGGAGAGGAGCAGATAGAGAGGGGAACAGAGGATTCCAAGTGGGCTTTGTGCTGCTGAGCCCAATGCTGGGCTCGAATTCCTGAACCACGAGATCATGACCTCAGCTAAATTCAGACATTTAACCGACTGAGCCACCCAGATGCCCCAAGCACGCAACTCTTGATCTCTGGGTCATGAGTTCAAGCCCCACATTTTCATTTCTCCAGGGTACATCCCTAGGAGTGGAATTGCTGGGTCATATATTAACCCTAAAAGCCAATTCATTTAAAAAGCAAGGAGATTTTTTTTTTAATTAAACAACAAACAAACAGGGTGCCTGGGTGGCTCAGTCAGTTAAGCATCCGACTTTGGCTCAGATCATGATCTCATGGTTCATGGGTTTGAGCCCCATGCTGAGCTCTGTGCTGACAGCTAAGAGCCTGGAACCTGCTTCGGATTCTGTATGTGTGTGTCTCTCTCTGCCCCTCCCAGCTTACACTCTGTCTCTGTCTCTCTCTGTCAAAAATAAACATTTAAAAACTTTTTTAGGGGCGCCTGAGTGGCTCAGTCGGTTAAGCGTCGACTTCGGCTCAGGTCATGATCTCACCGCTCACGGGTTCCAGCCCTGCGTCGGGCTCTGTGCTGACAGCTAGCTCAGAGCCTTGAGCCTGTTTCGGATTCTGTAACTCTCTCTCTCTCTGATCCTCCCCTGCTCACGCTGTCTCTCTCTCTCTCTCAGAAATAAATAAAACATTAAAAAATATTTTAAAAACTTTTTTAAATAAAACCAACGAGAAGTGATGTGCTCATAGTAGGGACAGAAAGAAGCCAGGCTAGACCCCACATCTTCTAATTCCAAATCCAGGACTCTTTCTGCCATTTTATTTTATTTAAAAAAAGTTTTAAGGGGCGCCTGGGTGGCTTAGTCGGTTAAGCGACCGACTTTCGCTTAGGTCATGATCTCGCGGTTCGTGGGTTCGAGCCCCGCGTCGGGCTCTGTGCTGACTGCCAGCTCAGAGCCTGGAGCCTGTTTCAATCTGTGACGCCCTCTCTCTCTGACCCTCCCCTGCTCACGCTGTCTCTCTCTCCTAGATATAAATAAAAAACATTAAAAGTGTTAAAAATGTCTTTAATGTTGATCATTTCCCGAGCCAAAGTCAGATGATTAACCGACTGAGCCACCCAGGTGCCCCTTTCTGCCATTTTATAGTGGCTTCATGTAGCCAGACTTCTAGCATCAGACCATACAATAGACCGTTGACATAGTGCCAGGCCCTGACGGGTTCAGAGGGACATGGGGGAAAAGGCAAGGAACCCACATTTATTGAGCATCAGTTGGTTCCAGAAATTACACTAGACCCATAGCATTCTCCATCTACGCTGTTCTCAATTCAATCCCGCCAAGTAGCAATATGCTGCCCACTTTGTAGATGACAGCTGGACACTGAGAAGGGACATCATTTGCCCAAAGCTGCAGAGCAAATGGATGCAAGGACCTGAACCCAGCTTTGTCCAACTTGAAAGTTTATGTTCGTTTCATTGAACTACTGTCTCCTCTCCAAATATTTAATTTTCTCAAGCTCTGATACACAAATTCTTTTATCTCCATTAATTTGGCTACTTATTCGATTCATCCATTTGTTCATTCATTCACCAAACATTCACTGAGGCACGTCTGTGCCTTCTGTCTGAGAGTGCAGAGATGAAATGGATCCAGCCCACAAGAGAGAAAAGCAGAGATGATCTCTGTGCTAGATGCTGTATCATGAACTACCTCATTTAATAAAAGGAATCTCGGGGCGCCTGGGTGGCTTAGTCGGTTAAGCGTCCGACTTTCGCTTGGGTCATGATCTCGCGGTTTGTGGGTTCGAGCCCCGCGTCGGGCTCTGTGCTGACTGCCGGCTCAGAGCCTGGAGCCTATTTCAGAGTCTGTGTCTCCCTCTCTCTCTGACCCTCCCCTGCTCACGCTGTCTCTCTCTATCTCTCTCTCCTAGAAATAAATAAAAACATTAAAAAAAAAAAGGAATCTCAATGAGAACCCATGTCACACCCACCAGATTGGGAAAAATTTAAGTGTGACTATCAAATAGTAGTAAAGATTTCAAGAAACATGACCTCCCATTCATTGCTGGTGGAAATGGAAATCAGTAAATTACAGATAATACATAGGGCCTACTTTGTGTTGCAAAACACTTTACATATAATGGCTCAATTAGTCATCGTAACACCCAGCACTTAACTGTGGTAAGTACTACTATTTTTGCTTTACAGATGAGAAAACTTTATAGAAAGGGCTGTCTTTCTCATTGGACACAGCAGGTACACACAGTGCCTAGGGCCCCATGGCATTTTTAGGTGCCCATGAAAAACATTTTAATGTTGAAATCAGAAGAAAAAAATGTAATCCAGCCTGGCTTATGCTCATCTTTATACCAACACAGTCATCATTTTAAATATATTTTTTGGAATGAAGGGACCCACAGAGGCAGAAAGGCCAGGGTTCATGGGAGCACTGGAGACAGCACTCGTTAAACAATTTACCCAAGAGCTCCCATGTAGGTAGTGGTGGGGCTGTTGCAAAAGTGACTGAGTGATATCACCAAAGTGAGGACGGGAGCTGCACATGGTAATCGTTTTTGATGCAGAAATTCACTTCCAGTTACATAGTGTAGAGAAAGCTCTCTTCTGGGGTCAAGGATACCTAAGCAAGAAAGCTCAAGTATTGTTTATGATAATAATAATAATAATATAAATTATTAATATTGTAATACTATTGCATAATATATTATACATTATTATATTACATATAATGTCATAATGTTAATAATATTAATTTATGTCATATTATAAATTATATAATGTATAAATTATATATCATAAATACATTTATATATAATTAAATATATAAATTAAAGATATTATAATTATGGGGTGCCTGGGTGGCTCAGTCAGTTAAGCGTCCGACTTCAGCTCTGGTCATGATCTCACTGCTCGTGGGTTCGGGCCCCGCGTCGGGCTCTGTGCTGACAGCTCAGAGCCTGGAGCTGCTTTGGATTCTGTGTCTCCCTCTCTCTGACCTTCCCTTGCTCACACTATCTCTCTCTCCCTCTCTCGGAAATAAATAAAAACATTAAAAATTTATAATTAATATAATAATATTAAAATTATTATATTTTATAGTAATATATTATCATAAAAATAATATAAATAAGTAATAATACTAATTTGGCACCAACCCAATGTCCACCAATAGGAGAACGAACAAATATAATGTGACATTATCATCAGTGGGATATCGTATGAGCACTGACTCGTATGAGCAGTAACTAGACTGCATGTATTAATATATGCAAATATAAAAAGGGGAGGAGAAAAAAGAGGTTAGATTGAAATTATAGAACTATTAGAAAAATTTTTGTTTTACTTTTTAAAAACTTTTTTGAGGTTTATTTATTTTGAGAGACAGAGAAAGCAAGCGGGGGCGACAAAGAGAGAGGGGGAGAGAGAGAATTTCAAGCAGGCTCCACTCTGTGAGCACAAAGCCAGGGCGGAGCTTGATCCTAGGAGCCATGACATCATAGTTCCTTGAGCCAAAATCAAAAGTCAGACATTTACCCGACTGAGCCACCTAGGCACCCCTTGTTCTGAATACTTTTTATATAGAAGTAGTTTATAATTAAATAAATGTAAAGAAAAGACTCCCTCTGCATCATTGGGAGACTAGATTATGCTGTAGTAACAACCACAATGGCTCAGTGTCTTAACAAAATAAAACATTTATTTTAAATGCTACATCTCCTGGGCACCTGGGTGGTTCAGTCATTTAAGTGTCTGACTCTTCTGCTCAGGTCATGATCTCACACTTGGTGGGTTCAAGCCCTGCATTTGGCTCTGCACTGACAGCGGGGAGCCTGCCTGAGATTCTCTCTCTCCCTCTCTCTGTGCCCCTACCCTGCTCGCTCCCTCTCAAAATAAATAAAAATAAGCTTAAATAATAAAACTAAATGCTATATCTCCAAGAAAGCTCAGCGCCAGGCTCTGCTCATTGTAGACACTCGGGAACTAGGGTTTTTGGAAACTACTTCAACCAGCAGATCCCGAGCCAGAAACCGTAGGATGGAAACTGGCCAAGGGCTCTCTGGGCAACGTTAAAACACATCACCGTCACTGACAGGTCACTGGCCAAAGAGAAGCACAGGGCCAGGTCTACTTTCAAAGGAAGCACAATTTTATCATGTCCCCAGGAGGAGAAACAGCAAATTTAGGAAGTAATATGATGTTTAAGCATCACCTACCCTGCCCTCCCAAGGGAACAACCTAAGGGGTGTCCAAAAGCGTTCCATATCTCTTTTCCTCGTCGGGTTTTCACAACACCTGCACAGTTTTATACATGAGAAAATGTGCACATGGCCCAGAGAAGTGCAGTGACTTCTCCACTGTCACACAGCCAGGCCAGAGAAGGAATCAAGACCCCAATCCTGTCCTTGGTGCTGCCCAAACCCACCGTCTGTGGCCTTCCCCAGACGTCGCCACCGATGTCGCTGTTTGCAGAATACCCTTTTGTAAACCGACTTGGAAAAACCCTGCGTGCCCTGTGCCCAGGAGCCACGCGGAGGTGGAGACAAAAACATGCAGTGGGAAAACAATAGAAAACCACAAAGGTGACGTTCTGGCCAGAGTCGGCTGACTGCCAGAGCCTCCTAATGCTGGTTAGAAGGAGAAATTCACTTGGCCTGCAGCCCCCCAGCGCCCCGCCAGCTCGGTCCTCACGGGCTGACAGGTGATTAGAGGGTACGCAGCACTCCCTCCGGGTGGGCGGGGCTGAGCCCCGCCCCCCCCGCCCGCTAGTGCGCCTGCGTAGCAGCTCTGACGCGGCCCGAGCCCCGCCCCCTCCCGCCGCGACCACGGGCTTGGGGGCGGGGCCTGAGCACAAGATGGCTGCCGCGCGCCCGGAGACCCCTAGTCCGAGCTCAGCGGCCCCGGAGCCGCGATCCCCGGAGACGCCGGACCTGGTGCGGGCGGGGAAGGGGCCTCAGCGTGGGACCAGAAGCGGGAGGAGGTCTCAGGGCAGGGGGCGGGGCCGGGGCGGGGCCTATGAGGGCTGGGCGGAGGAAGTATTTAGGGCTCCGGGTCTGGGGGTGGGGCCTCTCGGGGTGGGCGAGGGGCGTGGCTGAACGCGGAACCTATGAGCATGCGGGGTGGGGCATTTTGGGGGCGGGGCCTAAGGAGGGGGTTGGGTGGAAGGTCTGGGGAGAGGAGTCTCGGAGACTGAGTTTGTGTTAAGGGGGCGGGGCCTTAGATACCGTCTGGGGCTAGAGAACTTGGGTGGAAGATTGGGAAGGTGACCCTGGAAAACAAGGGTGGGCAGTGATGGTCGGGGCACCCGCGTTGGGGTAGGGTAATCATTCTGCAGGGATCTGAGTGCTGTCCCTGGCGGGGGGGGGGGGGTATGGCGAGCAGGGGTAGAAATGTCTGTTCCAGGTAACTTTGGAACTTTCCCCACTCGGGACTGGAGAGTAACGGGACGGTCATTCATTCAACAGACATTTACTGAGCCCTTCCTTCCTGGGGCTCAGTAGATAGAGACAGATCAAGTGAACATGACCGATCAGGACCGCATTCTCTCGGAGCCCGCAGCCCAGCAGGGGAGAGAGACAATAAAGGATATTTATTGTGATCCACGCTATAAAGGACATACAGTGAGCTGATAGAGTGGGGAGTCCGGGGACCTAAATTTAAATGAGAGAAGTCAGCTGCGTGCCGGCTTGTATCTACACTGGGGCCAGAGACAAGCAGGAGCCAGCTCATGGCGGGTATTACGATGACGGTTTCGGGTGTTAGGTGCAGTTGAAGCCATGGAAGGGTTTTGAGTGGGAAAATGACCTGCTTTCCATTTTCAAAAGGTCATGCAGGCTGCGTTGGGGAGGCAGCAGGCATAGGAACAGATTCTGTTCAGCAGGCTTTTTCAGTTGTCAAACCAAGAAATATTTGGCTGTTAACTGGGGTAGAGGAGAGAAATGGCTGGATCCGTGACGTATTTGGGCCCGGAAGGGAAGTCTTGATAGGAGTGCTGCAAAGTCCTGGAGGATGGAGGGCCGGATCTGAGATGGAGGAGCCCAGCATGCTTACAAAGGAGATGGGTGTTTTAGTAAGTGTGGGTGCGGCCCTGAGGCGGGCTCCACAGGCTCCTGGTTTTCCCCCCCCCCCACCCAGGTCCTGGTGCCAGATGATGGCCGCCCCGCCACACCCCCGAGTGACCTCATCGAGATCCAGGTGGTGAAGGTGACAGACACCACGCTGGTACCTGAGCCCCCGGAGCCAGGTTCCCTCCACTGTGCCTTGTGCCCAGCTGCCTTCCGGCTGGTCTCTGAGCTGCTGTTCCACGAACATGGCCACCTGGCAGGGCCTGAGGGCGGCGGGCAGGGTGGGGACCCCAGCCGGTGTCATGTGTGTGGCCACAGCTGTCCGGGCCCCGCCAGCCTCCGCGCCCACTACAGCCTGCACACGGGGGAGCGGCCCTACCGCTGCGCCCTCTGCCCCCGGGCCTTCAAGGCCCTGGCACCTCTGCTGCGGCACCAGCACCGACACGGGGTGGAGCCGGGGACCTCTCAGAGGCCTCCGGAGGCGGCGGTGGCTCGGGAACAGAGGCCTGGGGTGCCCCAAGAGAGGTCGGAGGTGGTGATGGCGGCGGCGGCGGCGGGCGCCGCGGTGGGGAAGCCTTTCGCCTGCAGGTTCTGCGCCAAGCCGTTCCGCCGCTCGTCAGACATGCGTGACCACGAGCGGGTGCACACGGGCGAGCGGCCCTACCACTGCGGCATCTGCGGCAAGGGCTTCACCCAGTCCTCGGTGCTGAGCGGCCACGCACGCATCCACACCGGGGAGCGCCCCTTCCGCTGCGCCCTGTGCGATCGCACTTTCAACAACTCCTCTAACTTCCGCAAACACCAGCGCACCCACTTCCACGGGCCAGGCCCAGGGGTGGGGGACTCGGGCAGCCAGCTGGCCTCCAGGGCCGAGGGGCCAGGGAGCGGCTGTGGGGCAGGAGACAGTCTGGAGGAAGGGCAAAGGGAGGCGGCAAAGGTGAAGGTGGAGGTCGACCAGTAGGCTGGGAGAGCAGGGACACGGGGACATCAGCGTGGCAAGTAGGAGGCAGATTGCGAGGGAGGGGGCGGGTGGGAAAAGGAAGCGGGAGAGAGGAGACTGGGGTAGAGGTGAAAAGAGCTAACAGCGATGGCCACGAGCAGCTAGTGCGGGAGAGCCAGTTTCGGGACACCCACCAAGCCATACAGCACCTCCAAGAGACTCAGAACACAGTCCTGTGGGTGTCCGGCCACATGTGAGGAACACAGGCTGGATTCCACTGCCCAAGCTGCCTGCTCGTCCGGTTGTCCTCATGCAAGACACAGCTTGTCCCCGCAGAGCCTGGGCACCACAGAGGGGGAGGAAGGGGCAGAACTGGGGCCGGACCTTCATCTCCAGAACCCTGGAGTATCTTGGGGACCTAGGGTGGACCAGGATGGAATCTTTTGCCTACCTCACTGGATTGCACTGAACCTGGGATGCCTACCCACCCTCAGGCAGAAGACACCCGCCAGGTTCTCCATAAAGAGACTCCGGGATCCCATCACCTCGAAGCCAGAGGGTCCCCAAGTCCTAGCCGAGAGCACTTGAGCCTCAAGGATGTAAGCCTGACCCTAAGGATCTTGACTCCAAGAGCTGCTCCCTGCTCCCATGGTGGGTCCTCCTTAACCCACTGACTCTGAGGCAACAATAACAACAACAAACAGAGCAAACAGCCACCTAATACCCCCATCATAGGCCTTTAGGTTCAGAGCCCATGGCCCCCAGGGCTACAGAGTAGCCTTAGGTTTCTCTTATCTCCTCCACTCCCTGTTTGAAGCAAACAGCTTACTGCCTAACCCAGCGCTACCCCCACGGAAGAGTTGGGGGATGGCAGCTTGGTGCGCTGACCTGTGTGCGGCACGTGTGGAATGCAGTGTCACTGTGGTAGGGGTGAGGACCTGGGAGCTGGAGGTGGGGAGCCTCCAGTTCTCCTATTAAAGGACTTTCTGAAGGGTCTCTCTATGTCAGTCTTGTGTTTTGGGGGTGGGGGTAGAGGGCCCACAACTGGGGTCGTGCCAGGAGCAGTGAATTGCAGACCTCTCTCCAAACCTCTGTTCCCCCATCTTTACAATGAGGCTGAACAGTATCTGGCTATTCAGAGATGTTCTGGGTTTCACCTGTGGGAACAGGTATCAGGGGAAGTTTGATAAAAATGAAGGGACTCCTGTGATGAGTATATTCATCAAGGAGGGAGAGCCCCAAATTTGCACTTTCCTGTTTGCTCAGCACCTCCCCTGAGATATCCCTTCGACAGGTCAGAGCACCAACAGACCTCATTCTCTTTCCTCCAAAGAAACGCCTGTGTTTCCTATCGTCAACCTCGCCACCTAGGCTAGAGACCTGGGCAGGCTCTTTAAGTCTTCTTGATCCGTCATCCACCTATCTAATCCCTGTCCTCATCCTTTCCCCACCGTTGAGCTGGTTAAGTATCTTTGGAGTCTGAACACTTTCGTGGTCACTACTCTTGTTGCCCAAGCCAATGGTCGCACGTTTGGACTGCCACACAGCAGCACGGTCTCCAGTCTCTATACTACAGCCACACAGACCCTCCAAAAACACAGATCTCGACCTTAAAACCAATCCACTGCTCCTTGTAGCTTTGAGGAGGGATCAGAAGCCTGAATACCTGCAGGAGCTGGGTGGCAATGTCAATGTATGAGGGAGGTGGCTGGGTGCACGAGGAAGTGCCAGCGCCGCTGAGGGGAAACAGGGAAAAGTGACCCTTGGGTGCAGGGCTGGGTTTCAAGGCATGGCCGAATCTGGTGGCAGACTGGAGAGAGGGCAGTGGTTACTCAGCTCTGGGAGAGCGCAGACTGGGTTGCTAGATCTCCCCAGTTTCTCAGGAGTTGCATTAGTTCATATTATGCAAAGTGCTTTGATTTTCAAATGTCGGCAACTAAGTCAAATTTTATTAATTTTTTAATGCATGGGCTAAACAAAGCAGGTCAGTGGCTTGTGTCCAGCAGCTGCCAGCTTCCGGCCTGTGGCCTACAAGATCATCCAAGCTCTACTGTTCTGAATTCCAAACCCTTCAGGATCCAGCCTCCCACACCTCCAACTTCCCAGCCATACTCATCACTGACATTCTCTGTAACAGTGGGTTCAGTGAGGTGCACTAAACCCTCCACCCACAACTTGGTGCCCACTTTACCTGGCAAGCTTCTGTGGCTTGTTATTGTTCAGGCATTGCTTTCTCCTCCAGGGAGCTTGGCTAGCCCCCCAATCTCATAAAGTGACTCCTCCATGCTCTCAGCCCTCGGGGATAATTCCATGGACGTTTTATGGGCGGCTCCGGGTCCTTGTGACTTTTGAGCCCTGGGGCCCTGGCACAAGGACCCTCATGCTGGGTCTTCCGCATTGCCACAGGTTGGCCACACTAGGTTGCTGCCCTCGAGTGGGCCACACCAAACCCACCGAGGCTGTGCCCCCTGGACCAGCTTTGTCTTCCAGTGTCAGCACTGAGGCGCCCTGGGCCTACAGTCCCCGTTCTACCATGGGTTTGCTGGGAGTCCTTGGAACCTCTTTCTTCTCCAGGGCCTCTGCCTCCTCTTCTGACAGACGGGATAACTAAACACAGAGGACACACAGCTCACTGTCCCAACAATGGAAACGAGGGCCATGGAAGGGCTTTTGAAGCTCCCCCAAATTATCCTGGACGGGTGGGTGCGATGGGTGAGCTCGTAAGAAACAGGCGTCTGGAGATGCTGGAACACAGGGGTTCTCTTCCATCTCGCTCGAGGGCAAGGAGCATGTCCAATTCAGGTGTCCCTGGGGTCCAATGAAGGACCCAGCAGTCAGGCGGCTTCAGGAAATGTTGGTCAGGTGAACAAATGCCAATAACATCTCGAAGGGGAAGGAGTCCAGACACACGGTGAGTTTCCAAGAACAGAAACTTACCTGTCTTGTTTGTTCATCTCCCTTTGCCCAACGTGCAGACCCAAGCTTGGATGCGGTAAATCCTCAGTAACTACCAGTTGGATGAAGCAAAGCAGAAAGCGGGAGGGTGAGGCAGAGGGTGCTGGGGAATCGAAATCCCTGGGAAACACAAGTTCTCAACCTCGTCAGCACTTAATCCCCTCTCCCTGGGATGCAAGAAAGGACTCCGGCGGCCCTGTTGATACGATTTATTATTCTCCGCTCTGTACAAGCCGCGTCTGCCACCCCGCCCCCACCCCCACAATCCAAAAGAGCACCCAGTCCCCCCTGTGGGCCTCCCAACTCCACTCAGACTCGTTTCCAGGCAGATCCCAAAGGAATGGGGGGGGGGGTGCAGTGCAGACCCACATCCTCCACCAAAGCTCGTTCGGGGACAGAATGCTGCTGAGGGAGGGGGCGCTGATGAAAGTTACAAAACGGAGTTGGACGGAGGGTCAAGTTCAGTGTCTGACGGGATGAGGGGAGGGCCAGAAACGTCCGGGACGGGAGTTTGTGCGGCCTGAGCCTTCAGGGAGGCTAGTCTGTCCGAAGTTCTGAAGGGTAGCGGGGCCAACAGCGAGGAGGGGTTGAGTCTGATCAGCAACGGGAGAGCAGGGAGGGGCGGTGCACGAGGGGACATCTGATTGGAGTGGCGGATGGGAACCTCCCTCCTGGTCAGGCATCCTTTCCCGCCAAGGTGCCCGCCCCCGCCCCAGGACCCCCGAGGCCCTCGGCTTTGTGCACCAGGCGGTGTTTCTTGAGGCCATAGGTGTTGGCGAAGCCCTCGCCACAGGAGGAGCAGCGGAAAGGCCGTCCGCCCTGGTGCGCTGCCAGGTGCTTACGGAAGTAGCCGGGGTCCTTGAAAGCCTTGAGGCAGGCAGGGCAGCGGAGCTCGGGCCGCGGCGGCTCGTGGGCGCGCTGGTGGCGCAGCACCGAGCTCAGGTAGAAGAAGCCCTTGCCGCAGTGCTCGCAGCGGTAGGCGCGCTCGCCCAGGTGCAGCCGCTGATGCTCCAGCAGGTTGGAGCGGTAGCGGAAGGTCTTGCCGCAGGCGCCGCAGCGCTGGGGCCGGGCCACGGCGTGCAGCCGCCGGTGCTCCGCCAGGCTGGACGACTGCGCAAAGCGCTTGGCGCACACGCCGCACTTGAAGGCGCGCTCGCCCGTGTGCACCACGCGGTGCTGCCGCAGGTACCAGGAGCGCAGGAAGCCTCGGCCACACACGCCGCATCGGTAGGGCCGCTGCTCCGTGTGGCAGCGCTGGTGGCGCATCAGCAGGGCCGCCTCCCAGAAGCGCTTGCCGCACACCGGGCAGCGGAAGCCCCGCTTCTGCCGGTGACTGCGGCGGTGCAGGAGCAGGTCGTAGGCACCGGCGAAGCTCTGGCCGCAGAGGCCACAGCCGAGGGTCCGCCGCACCAGGTGCACGTACTTGTGAGTCACCAGGCCCAGGAAGTGCTTGAAGCTCTGGCCACACGTGGCGCAGCTGAAGCGCTCAGGGCCCGAGCTGGCACCCCCGCCGCCCCCCGCCACCGCCGTCCCGCTGGCGTCGTCCCCCCCGGACACCCCTGCCAGTGCCGCCACGGCCGCCCCCACCTCTCCCGCCAGCCCGTTGTCCAGCACGCTGGCCGCGTCGGCACTGCTGGAGCCATCCGGGGGCTGGGGGCCCCCGGGCGTGGGCGGGAGCAGGCGCTCAGGGGCAGCCTGGTGGACCAGCTTGTGCCACATGAGATTCTCGATGAAGCCGAAGGTCTTGCCGCAGGCATCGCAGCCATAGGGCTTCTCTGCCATGTGCGCCTCCTTGTGGCTCATCACATGGAAGAGATCCGGGAAGTGCTCGCCGCAGTCCGAGCAGGCGTAGCTCAGGGCATCGGCGGCCCCCGCAGAGGTGGCCGAGGCGCCCGGCCCACAGGCCCCGGGCGCACCCTGCGTGGCCGGGAGGCCGGCGGCCCCGGCCAGGGCACAGGGCAGCTGGAGCCGGTGCACCTGGCGGTGGCGGGTGAGGCTCTGCGGGTAGCCGAAGACCTTACCGCACAGCTCGCACTTGTAGGGCCGCTCGCGCGTGTGCACCACGTGGTGCTTGCTCAGGTGGAAGGACTCTCGGAAGCGCTTCCCGCACACCGGGCACTGGTGGGGCTTCTCACCGGTGTGGATGCGCTCGTGGCGCTTCAGAGTCTCCCGTCGCCCAAAACCCCGGCCGCAGATCCCGCAGCAGAAGGTCTTCCCGGGGACGCCAGCGCCCGCGCCGCCGGCCGCGCTGGTCCCGGCCCCGCCGAGCAGCAGCGGGTGCGCCCCTAGCAGCGGGACGGGCACCGCGCCGTACACCACGGCCGCCGCGGCCGCCGCGGCCTTCTCGCTGTCGGTGGCCGGAGCGTCCGGGGGCAGGAGGTAGGGTCCCGCGGGGAAGGCGGGCGGAGGCTGCGGGACCGCCGCCGCCGCCGCCGCCGCCGCCGCGTCCTTGGGCGCATCCGGGGCGGCGGCGGCGGGTGGGGCGTGCGCCGCCTTGTGGCGGAGCAGGCTCTGGGGCGCCGAGTAGGACTTGCCACACAGGTCGCAGGGGTACACGGGCCGGGGTCCCGCCGCGCCCGCGCCCGCGTGGGCCGCCTGGTGCTTGAGCAGGTAGGCGGCGTCGCGGAAGGCCTTCCCGCAGACCCCGCACGGCAGGCGCAGGAGGTCGGCCGAGTGCGTCTTCACGTGCCGCTTGAGGCTCTCCCTGCGGTTGAAGCTCTTGCTGCACACGGAGCAGGAGAAGGGCTTCTCGCCGGTGTGGATGATCTGGTGCTGGTGCAGGTGGCTGGGCTTCTTGAAGACCTTCCAGCACAGCGGGCAGGCGAACGGGCCCTCGCCGCCGCCCGCCGCCGGAGGGGGCACGCCCACGCCGGCCGGGGCCCCGGCGCCCTCGGCGACGCTGGCGGCCGCGGCGGGCGGGCCGGAGGGCACGGGCGCGGGGGCGGCGGGGGGCGTGCCGGCCGCGGGCGCGGGCAGGCCCAGCGGCGGGAGGGGCGCGGCGGGCGGCGGCGGGCCCCCCGCGGCGGGCGGCGCGTCCTTGT